AACACAGTTTTTTGAATATCTATTATGTGGTAGGTAGCATTTCAGTAAAACAAATGAATGTCATTGGCAAAAGGAAAATTTCTGGAGAGATGGGTCAATAGTAAAGGGCACGGCCTCCTCTTCCAGAGGATCTGTGTTCAATTCCCAGTACCCGTGGTGTCTCAAAACCATCTGTAACTTGAGTCCCAGGGGATCTAACCACTCTTCTGATCTCCATAGGCACTTTGCAGAGCAAAAACATATACAGACAAGTAAAATCTCAAAAATTATATGATAATTTCAAAAAGTAAAATAATTAAAAAAGAAAACTAGTAAAAATTTAATCAAAAGCAGAGGTGGCAAAATCTCTAGAAATTAATGTTTGTTAGGTAAAATAGCATAGGACTAGCTATGTATATAATATATTATTGCTAAATACCACTGATGGCTGAGTAAGAGGTTGAAAACAATGTTTCAACAATATAGAAGGGAACAAGAATGGCAGCAACTCAAAAGTAACAAGAAATTTCTCATGCTACCCATGGCAAAATGAAAATATGGCAGGTACTGCAGGATAAAATATAGCAAAACAGATTTTTAAATTAGGGAAAATATATAAATTAACCATTGCCCACTGCAAGCAGCTACTTCTACCTGGTGAAAGTAATACGAATCTGTAGCTTTTGGGTGCTCATCCCTAAACTGGAATTTATATCTCACTCTCTGAGAAGACAGAACATTGCAGAAGAGAGAATGCAGAAAGAATGGAGATGTCAGTGGATGGGGAAGTATGCTGTGAAAAGTTGTCTTCCAGATGTGACATGGCTCTAGTACTTATGGACTTGTAGCCACAGTGGCTATGTGCACAAGACTGGGTCCATCAACATTTCATTATGGAGCAGAGTCATCTCCCAAGGTCCCTGCTCCTCCTCCCCAAGGAGCTACAGGGTTGCTAGAATGTGGGAAATCATAATCCTCAATGGCAGCCTCTGGTCAATTGCCTTTCCTCCCACTCATGCTCATAAGGCAGTCCTAATCAGATACAGTGGGGCACAAAATAAGAAGCAGAACACCCATGAAAATAGGAGGGCAACTTGTTGGCAAATTCCACCCCTCTTCCTGTGGGGGTGGAAGAGGAAAAGTTAGGATAATGGAGGGCAATATGACCCAAGTACAAATTGTGTGCCCTGCATGTGCATGTGTATGTGTTGTGAACTGACAAAGAACAAACAAAAAGCTTTAAGAAGTGGTAAAGATCACCTGTGTAAGAAGCAACAGACACATATGGATCTAAAACCATGCTGATTGTGAGTGTTAAAAGAGATACTGTTTGTTTATTCAACAAAATATAAATATCAAGTTTTGACTGGATAGAAATGTTTATAAAATGTGAAACCCACAAACTACAATTGACAAACCCATTCCTTACATTAGGTCCTTGTCTCTTGCTGGGCACAAACATTAATGACAAAACATTTTATAAGATCCTCTTAAAGAAGGTTGAGTCATTCTATAGAATAATGAATAGCAATTGACAGAGACACATGTTGACGTTTAGTCTTACAAGTTATTGTTATTAATATAAGGAAAAGAAAACTGTGCAAAGTGAGAATGTAAATAGTATCATTCTTGCATACAAAGTCAGAGAAAATAATTATTTCTAAGCTCATGATACCTTTACTTATTAGTTGTTTTGTATCCCAATAAAGAAAAATGTTTTGGGCTGGAGAGATAGCTCAGTGCAGCACTGACTCTTCACTGACTCTTCTTCCAGAAGACCTGGGCATGGCTTCCAGGAACTATGTGGCAGCTCACAACTGTCTGTAACTCCAGTTCTGAGGGATCCAAAACCCTATCCTAGGTTTCACAGGTGCCAGGTGTGGGGAGCCACAGCCCCAAGATGGCGCCTAGCTGGATGCCAGGGAGACCAAGTTTAGCTGTAAACAAGCCTTATTTGGAAGCGCTTATTGGATCTGGTGTGCCTCCTCCGGCTGTGACCTATCCGGGATCGCCAGTGAGCTAATTGGGGAATGAGCTTGCTATCCAGGATTGCCAGGTGGCAGGAGCAAATGAGCTTGCTTTTAAGGGGGGCGGGGCTAGTAAATATAGAAGTAGAGATAGAAGCTGAGGTAGAGGTAGAAGTAGAAGAAGATTGTTCAAGGATCCTGAATAAACTGCTTAAAGAAGAGTTCGTGTGTTGCGTTTCCCATGCTGGTCGAGGTGGATGCGACAGCCAGGCAAACATGTGGCAGATATACATGCAAGTAAAACACCCATACACATAAAAATAAACATTAAAAGGGGGTTATGAAATTATGTAAGTAACACTATTAATACTTACATTGCACAGTGTTTTAAGTTTTTTTTTTTTTTTTTTTGTGTGTGTTTGCATGAAGCAAGCTGCATTCCTTTTCTACACTTAGTCTTAACCCTTCTCCTTCTGCCATTTGCTATGGGAAGATGCAGCATCAAAACCCTCATTAGGGGACATTGCATTATAAATCACCTGCTCTAAGCATTACTTACTCGTGCGTGTGTGTGTGTGTGTGTGTGTGTGTGTGTGTGTGTGTAAGTATGTGTACATATGTTACAAAGTTACACAGTTCATATAAGGTAGATTAGACACACATGTAGAAAAATTAAGAATTTTACTCTTAGCTGAATTGTGGTGGTGTATGCCTTTAATCTCAAAAGCAGGCCAGCCTGATCTATAGATTAAGTTCTAGGACAGCCAGGGACACATGGGTAAATCCTGTCCTGAAAATCCAAAAATATTTCTTTTTTCCTCTTTTTGGGTGTATTTTTTCTTTTACTGAAATTAGATATTTTTCATATAATATATCCTAATCATAGTTTTCTCTCCCTCTTCTGCTCCCAGTTCCACCTCACCTCCTGTCCCATCTGGATCTGACCCCTTTCTGTCTCTCATAAGAAAACAAACAGGTTCTAAGGGATAATAAAAAATTAAAACAAAAAAACAAACACATTGGTATAGGACAAAACAAGGAAACAGAAAGAAAGAGCCCAAGAAAAGGTACAAGAAGAGATACAGATGCAGAGACCAACTCAGTCACACACGCTGGAATCCCATTAAAACACAAAGCTGGAAGCTATAATATATACACAAAGGACATTCGGGTAAAAAGAGAGAATAAAAAGATAAAAAGATTAAATATTAAAGAAAGAAAAAGCCCTGCCATGACACTGTGAGACAAGGAACCTGCAAAGCTGTCAGTGAGTCGTTTCCTGTTGGCCATCTACCACTGGGCATGCAGCCTACCCCTAAGAGTAAGTGTGCTTCCGCAGTGAGACTCCCTTGGAGAAAAGTATATTTTTATTAGCAAGTCGTTATCAATTGGAGGTAGCTTCTGGGTTAGGGATGGAGCATGAGTCCACTTCTTTCAGCTCTAGAGCCAAACTTGCCAAACAAGACCCATGTAGGCCTTGTGCGTGCTCCCCCAGTTTGTGAGTTCATATGTGCATGGATTCTGTGATTTAGAGGGCCCTGCTTCCTTGGTGTCCTCCATCCCCTCTGGTTCTTACAGTCCTGCCTTCTCTTTCACAGGGGACCCTGAGCAGTGAGGGAAGGGATTCAGGTATCAGGTGGGCTCCACTTTCTGTAGTGGCTGCTTATCTTCCTAGACAAACTTAGTGTTTGCATTTTGGTGGCAATCTTTTGCATCATTTCTGTTACATGGGTGTTCTTTGCCTGTGTATCCTAACGATGTACTTACTCAGTGCCTATCTGACTCAGGGTACAAGGTTCCTCTTTTCTATAAAAACACCTATCATGGGGGATTAAAGCTCACCCAAATGACCACATTTTGACTAGTTTCCCTCTATAACAACTCTATTTCAAATAAGGTCACATTAAGAAGTTATGGAACTTCAGCCTAGTTTTGGGGGAGTAAAACACATTTCAAGCCACAAAAATAACCAACCACTGCAAATGTCACTGACACTTCCTTAAAGCAGGTTGTCTTAGTTTTTTTTTTTTTTTTCTGGGAAGATACTAGAATTTCCTTCTCATGAACTGCCAATGCAGGTAACAAACAAGGTGCTTGAGACATATGTGCTGACAGAAATGACTGGTGTTTTATTCCTTTGCACTTGCAATTATCACCCAAAGAGCATCCATAAACATCATTAATAAGAAATTGCAATTATTAGCACATGTACTGCTAGGTTTGCTGCTATTTAATATATTAATAATGAAGCATATACATATATGACATAATACATTCATAAGTACAGCTAATTAAAATTTATTTAATTTCAATATATTTTAGGCATTTAACAATGTCAGTCTGAGAAAAATCCAATAAAAGTTTAACCCATAGCCTCAATGGCTTCTCACACTTCAGACTTAAGGTAGTTTTAGACTTAGTATTCAAGAACCAAACAGGACATTGTATATCAAATAATTTCTTTTCTCATTGCCCACCATGAAAATGCCATATTTTACATTTAACCCAAAATACTTCTCTCATACATCCCACAGAAACCAGAAGCAAATATACGTTAAAACAATTATTTATCCTTATTATATAGTATGAACTTTTTATAACTAGTCCTACAATGGAAATGAAATAATTCTGTTAAGTATCTTTAATGACATTTCCATAGAAATTTCTCATAGCATATTGTAAAAGGAGAAAGCTCATGTTATATAGCATATATTTTGTGAATATATATATATATAACACACATATATATGATATATATGCATATACATAATTTTAGAGGTGGCATTTAGATGAGCAAATATTTCATCTAACCAGCCTTCACTTGGATAACTGATTATTTAAAGAATTGTGTAAATTTAATGGTATAAACTTAAATGTTACCTATGTAGGAATGAAAGGTAAAAAATTATATTCTAGGTAATTTAAATACTATAGAAATCCTTTAAATCCTCAGAGTTTAATTTCATTGAGGAATTTCTTCAGCCACAATTACATTATCACTTACAGGAGTTTCTCAAACAATATTTACATGAACTGGAGTATAAAATGTTTTACCTGTAGTAAACTCGTAATGTCTGTATTTCTTCTTCCAGCCTTTTGTACTGTTCAACTGCAGTTTCTCTGGCTTGCTTCATTGACAGTAATTTTGCCTGCAAATATTAGTTTTAGCATGTTAAAACACAGGATTAAATGTGAATATGAGTTAACCTTTGTTAGTTTAAAATTGTAGCCACATTCTTAGCAGTCACAATTTCCCACAAAATAGTCCAAAATATTGTTAATAGAAACACTAAAGACAATTTTAGTAAGTGTATTAACTTTGCTAGTTACTAAGCTTCAACCATATTTTATCTGTATTATCAGATATGCCCTTCTGCAATGTTTAACTTTATACACAGAACTCAGAATGTGGAACATGGGTTCAGAGAAGTGTCTACAGTAGAGATAAGCACAATGGGCATTTCAGATACAAATTTAATGTGGCTCCACTGCCTGATTTCACTAGATTTTCTTTTAACTTTATTAACAGCAAAACTCAGAAAATTCTAAGTATGTTGTCAAGTTATCTTTGATACACAAAACTATGACCTGATTCTTATAGATATAAGTTAACTCTTTCTATCCCTTTTCTGCATGGAAAAAATTTTCTCTAAAATGTAGATTGATGGCAACTTTCATTGCTAGAGACACTTTGTTTGAAAATATTATCTTAAAGTATAGACAATTAAGCCTAGGAAATTTTAAATTGAGTTTATTTTAACAGGTAAAACATAATCATCATACATCTTAATGGGAACTGGGGCATTTTCATGTATGTATACATTGTGTAATGTTTGGAACAAGGTACACTTTTCTATTTCTTATAGATTTATCAGTCTTTTGTGGCATAGACTTACAAGGTATTTTTCTCCAAGCTTTTTGCAGTGAATTACTACCTCAATTGTTGCTTTGGTAAGGTTCAAAGTTGTAATTTTTAAATAATCTTCCATGTTCCCAACACCATTTCCACAAGTTTTAAGAAATGCCAAAAAGAGTTTAACATTACTTTAAAAATATGGTACTAGTAAGTCAAGCTTTAGTATTATTTATTCAAAGTTCAATTTGCATGAAAATGTTCTCTTTCAGTTTAAATAGTCTTTGACAGTGAACATGCAATTGTCTCAAACATTGAAAACAACACTGTCAATAATTAAAAGTAATTTAAAGTCTGGAGTTTCAGCATTTTATTGAATGCATATGATTTCAGTGGAATTAGTTTCTTGCATAAGAATTCAGTAAATAAGAAAAATAATAAAAACCCAATTATGAGAAAATTAATTAGTGTAATGAAAATGAACACTAGATAATGCAACTTTTCTATTTTAATAATGGAAAATTACAAAAGCATTCGGCAGTCTGGATATTTGCATATAAGTTTAGGTACAAGATATTAGTTTGTTTTCTATCTGGGCTAAGGAATTCTAACAGATTTATTCTGTAATTAAATTTAAGAAGTTTGAATGATTGCTTTAATCTTCTATATTCCATAACTACAGGTGAGATATCCCACAAACTAGGAAAAAACCATTCAAAATAAATTCTCATTTCCACATTAAAAATGTTTTTCTACTTTACTGTAGTGATATCCTTTAGACATATTTTATCATTTGTATTTTTGTACGTTTTCTAATTGTAGTCTTATTTTTAGATCAAATTCCATGAAAGCGAAACATACATAAGACATCAAGTAAGTATACATACAGATTTTAATAATTAGGCTTATGAGTTGTAAGTTCCAGAAAGTTAAACTCAATGATTTCAAACCTATTATCTATATTTTTATGAGACAGAGAATGAACTCTAGGTCAGGATGTTCTGGAACACACAGCTCAGCCTAGGTCCTGAACATAAGGCAATCTTCTCTTCAGCTTTTTTTTCAATGTTGCCACTACAGGCATGAGCCACCATACTTGATTGCTTCTGTAAATTTTTACCAACATGTGTGGTCATGTGACAAACATCATACTCAAGACATAAAGCATTCCCATTATCTCCAATGGGATATCTCCATTATCCCATGTCTCATGGTGCACCAATGCAGTCACTAGCCTCCTTTTATACTTAGCCTCTGTCCTTATACCTTTGCCTTCTTTAGATTATATAAAAGGAATACAGCCATTAATTTTAGCTTTTTTACTTAATATTCTTTGAGATTAATCTACATTATTGCATGTTCCAGTAGTTCACTCCTTTATAATCAGTGAGCAACGCTACACTGAGAACTACAATGTGACTATCTGTTCACCTGAGTTGGCTGACATTTTACTTTTATTTTTTAAAGTCATTAATACAATTGCTATAAATATCTGAGTAACCACCTAGAATCAGAATTTCTGGGTCTTCTTTCCCCAACACCTCATCCCCTCTGCTCCCCAGGGAGCGTAAGACCTTCCATGGGGGTTCCAAGAAATCTGTCATATCATCGTGGGCAGGGCCTAGGCCCTCCCCCATGTGTCCAGTCAGAGAGCATCCCTCCATGTGGCATGGGCTCCCAAAGTCCCTTCTTACGCAATTTCTGGGTGTTATGGTATGTATATTTATATATTTTATGAAGATATCACAAAACTTGGTGATTTCACTGAAACAATGTTAAAGGTTCCATCTTGGAAGGATGTTACCAACTGAATTTCTGTTATGGGATGAGATGGTGCCAAGTGCTTGGAAGATATTACTACACTCTATCTATCCTTTCAAACAACCAATAGGATGATCCACATTATTTCCAGGTGAAATGATGAATCAAATCACCATTAGGCAACAGAATTACTGACAACCAGATTAATCATAATGCATTTTCCATATTCTGTATCTTTTATGATACCTGAAATAAGAAAGATTGGTTGCCTAGTGCTAATGTATGTTGAGTACCTATTTTGAGTACTGTGGTTGGAATAGGACAGCCATTTACAATAGAAAGGCAATACACTTTGTTAGTAAGTCTTTCCTAGAAATTTGGAGTGGCAGACAAAGGCAGGATTATACTTTTCACAGGACTGAACAATATTTACTATTGCTATTATGGATAACAATCTTTATCTTTTTATGTTATGTTTTTAATAGTTAGAGTTTGAAACAGTTCAGCCTTCCTTTGGTATCACCAAGATTAATTCATGCAAACCTATTTTCATGACAGAGCAGAGGCAGTTGATTGACTTCTTGATATCTGCTAAATAAAGCAGCATGATGTACAAATTAAATTGAGTCAGGATACAGATTTGGGAAGTGTCTTAGAGGTAACACAGTCCTCTGTTTTCATGATTAGGAAATTGTTGCTATTGCAAACACTTGGAACCTGTCCAAGATTTCACGGCTAATTAGAAAGAAAGCTAAAACTGGAACAGAAATATTCATAAAACATTGTTTATTTTATAAGACCACACTTTAATATGACATAATCTAAGAGTATGCTAATTTTTAAAATAATAATTTTTAAAGATAACCTTAAGTATATTGAACTCTGTGATAACTATGAACATATCTGAAGGCATCTTCTTGAACGTCTTGAAAGATGGGTCTAGATGATTGTTCAAGCAATGACTGCAAATCATCTAAGACTTTAGCTCTGAAACTTGTAAGAAGATGAAGAACTTAGTAGATAACATGTAACTGAAATGCTGGCAAAAACATAACCTAAAAATTGAAAGCCATTATCAAAATGATAAAAGTGAGATTTCATTTACAGCTCTTTCTCAGAGACAGAATCTGTTTGCTCATTACATTGTGTAACGCTCTTTAGAGCATTTTCAGTTGTAATTTACCCTCATGTCATACCTTTTGACTTACCCAAATGGACACAATTGAGTCCTTCTATCAAAGAGAATAATATATGCACCGTTCAATGATCTATGCGGTGATCTGACATGAGAGAGAAAACAGGCGATTGTGGAAACAGAAATTATCATACAAATAATTGAATTTGATTCTTGAGCTGGAAGCACAAGTCACAGAACTGAGACAGAAAGTTGGAAGTATGCTAGAAGCACAGTGTGTCAAGGTCTGTGGAACCAGGGACTTGCGAGGCATCCTGGCTCCCCCCTTGCAAGTGTCTCTGCAGGCAATCTGGTATTCCATTTTCTCACCTACAAAGTGGGATAAGCTAATATCCATTCTCAAGGTGCTGATACTAATAAAATATAATAAAACAAACGAAATACATAAAATAGTACCCAGAACATAGAAAATGCTTTAATGTCCTGTTGTTGAATAAATAGCAGGGAAAAAGCCGAATCACCAACTTGGTGAGTTAAGAGTTGGATATGTAGTAAATATCTACCAAACAGGTGAAGAAAATAAATCTTCAGCATCACTCTGCCTTATTAGCTCAGTAACGAGTCTCTATGAAGCAGTTTGTGGGTTTTCGTGTGATCCTGAGTATCTTTACCAAGAAAATCACTGGACCAAGATAGTGCATATACACCATTTACTAATTATGTGCAATATATTAAGAAGTTTAAAGAAAAGGAGACAACATTGTTTTCTCTTTTTTGGCTATACAGCTTCTGCACAGTGCTCAATATTATGTGGTTTATCAGAGACTTCAAGTATAAGATGTTATTGAATTTGAGATGGTAGGAAATTGAATGCTTTTGTTGAAGGCATAAATGTTATTTCTATTATTTTGGAAGGGGAGAAAATAACATTATTTACTGTGTGGATATCTTAGCAACAAGAAAAAGGATATAGAAAGAAATCCAGGTTTTCCAAATAATAGTATGTTATAATTTCATATGCATCCATAACAAAATGAAAATACTGCACAGCAAACAGCATTCTATGGAGTCATTTACTTATTTCTACAATGCACCATCATGGTAACTACTATTTCCATTTTACAAACAAGAAGATTATTATACAACTTACAAAACACCAACTGGCTACTGGTGGAACAAGAATTTGAATTCAGTACTCTGGGTTCCAAAGTCCTCTTGCCCTTCACCATTATAGTCTAAACATGAGGCAAAATTTGGTGCTTTAAAAATCAGTTGTTTAATGAAGTAGAGATCTACAACTAAGCACTGAGCCGACTACTGGAATCCATTTGCAGAGAGGGAGGAAAGATGAGCAAAGGGGTCAAGACCATGCTGGGGAAACCCACAGAAACACTGACCTG